CACTCTTTCCCTACACGACGCTCTTCCGATCTGATTGAAATGGGAAGTTTCAATCATCAAGTCCAGGAACGCTAAGCGACGTTTTTCACCAATATCGTTCTCATCGATATCATCTAAATCATCACGTAAGCCTGTAACTTTGTTGGCTTTAGCTTTGGCCTTTCTTATAGCCTGATCGACTTCTTCGTTGACCTTAATGATGTCTTGAAGTGATGGAGATGGTAAATTTCCTTCTTCAAGATTTTTGTCGAAAACTGCTTTCTTTTCGTTTAGCACCTTAAAGAAAAATTGATTTAAAATATTTCAGCTGAAGAGATTTTTTTCTTACTCTTTGTGTCATTCCATGGATAATGCCAAGAAGTTTCTTTTGCTGCTTGCGCATGCCACTCATGGTGAAGAATGGCTCATATCTCGAGAAAACTTGCAACTGACGTTTATGTAAAATTTCGCACATTTTCATGACAGCCATTGCGTACCTAAAACCTTCTTCATCTTCACTGGTTCGTCTTGATCCCATTGCAGTCTCAAGCAAAATATCAACTGTAGCTTCACTCATGTAGTCGTGACAGTCGAACTCCTTTCCCACTTCTTTTTTCAATTTTGACACAACAAATCGGGCATTGTCATTAAAAGTTGGCATGAAACTCTTCAATACATTCATATGGAAAGCTGGTGCAATAAGTTTTCGATGAGTTCTCCATTTCTCTCCGGTGCTTATTAGTAAACCATTTCCTAACCAAGGCTTAAAGTATCTGTATTCATCCGATTTGTCGATATGAACATGACTGCTAAGAATCAATTCAGCGTCCCGTGGGTCAGATAAGAAAACTGCCAATTTGTGACCAATCCATCCACGAATTACATGACCATAAACGTTAGAAATGCTCATAGCTTTCTCGAAGATCTCTTTAAATTCAAGCAATAAGTTTGTCAGAAAAAAATTCGATTTGAATGAAATTTTCTTACCGTCAGTTTTGAGATTAACAAAATAATGCGCATTTCCAATGATTGGCACTGTTGGAGGACCAGGAATCATATCACCAATTTTACGATCACGTCGGGACTGTTGCCAAAAATGAATGGCAGCAAGCGCAACTAAAATAGTGATGAGCGGTAGGACCAATGGAGATGTGAAAGAAGTTCCTTCTATTATTTGTTCCACAGCCATGTTTGATAGTCGTGTCCGCTCTATTAAAAACTACAAAAATAAGTAAACTTTTTGTATTCCTTTATCGTTTCAACTTTTGATTTTTATTAGACTTTCACTTTAAGAATCAAATATCCAAGACTAAATGAAACTGAAAGTAAACCTTCGCTTTTATACTCCACAAGTGGGAAGTGGAATTAATTTTTGACGATTTGCTGGTTAATTTGATTCTCATTTAAATATTTTTAACCTTTTATTATTCACCAAACAAATCAGAATGAATTTCCAGAGTCATGGCCATTGCATATGCACATTCAAGTTTTTATTAACACGCAGACAAAACGTGATTCGCTAGCTTAAATAACAAGTAAATAAATAGGTCACCAATATTAATTAAATTTTTAAGAATAATTTTGATT